ATATGATATGTCTTGGTGATTTTCTTTTGGGGTCTCTTCTATATGGGGTTCGTTGAGCTTCTTGGATGGCCAGCTTTTCGTCTTTCATGATATTGGGGAAGTACATTTTTGTGCTTTTTGTTGGTGATTTTTGCTATTTAAAATGGCCTCCAAGCATAGTGCTGAAATGCTGTCTAGTGTTCCTAAGCACAGTAAGGCTGCAATATGCCTTACAGGGAAAATACATGTGTTAGACAAGCTCTGTTCAGGCATGAGCTATAGTGCTACTGGCCATGAATTCAATTTTAATGAATCAACAATATAGATTAAATAAGGTGTCTTTAAACAGAAACACACATAAAACAAGGTTATGTATTGATCGGTTGACGAAAATGTTGTGACCAGAGGCTCGCAGGAGCCTAACCCTGTACTTCCCCGAGAGCAACGGTTCAGCATTCTCTAATTCAGTGCTTGCATCAACTTTACAGAATACAGCTACTGCAAATAACAAGAATTATCTGTAACTGCCTAAGAAAGGTCTCTGAGCCAGACTTAAACTCTCCCCAACAAGAAAGGGCTCCCACAGGCCCAACCAGCACTGCACAACAGAATGCAAAAAGGGGACTTGCTCCCCAAGATCACACACATCCAAGTCTGGAGACCCTGCAAGAGAAGAGAAAGAAGGAGCAGAGACTCCTGAGCAACCTCCGTGGTCTCATGAGGGTCTTTGCCAAACTGGAAGCCACGTTCTGCTTTAGTCAATTAGACGTTTCAATATACATGTCACGGTAACTCAGATTGCTGTGTGTGTGAGAATGAGTGAAACTCTAAGGTTGGTAAATCTGTGGAAAATCAGAAATCAGAAGATCCGTCCTAGGTCTTCTTAAGGACTCATATTTGTAGGTATTTGGGTAGGGGTGCGCAAACTGTCATAACAACAGTGACAGCAAACTCAGCTGCAGCGCGTGCTGTGTGCTATGTGCCAGATGCTGTCTTCAGTGCTTCACATCTACTACTAACTTGTTGGATCCTTAAACAGCCTTACGAGGAGGATACTATTATTACCCTGTTCTACAGATTAGGAAGCCAAGTGACTTAACCAAGGTCACAAAGATAGAAAGCGATGAAGCCGGGATTCGAACTCAGGCAATCTAGCTTCATAATCCAAGTTCTTGGCTCTATTTTCTCATGCACTGCTGGTGGGAAAGGCACTTTCTTCAGAAGCAGGTAATTTGGCAATATCTTAAAATGTAAAATACATATATTCTATGGCCCAGCAGTTCCTCTTTCAGCATCTACCTAAAATAACACTCATTCAGGTGTACAGAGATATACAGCATTGTTCACACTGGAGAAAAACATGACTTACTCAGAGTATCTAATACCAGGAAGTTGTCAAAAAGAATGAGAAGAGCTACATGTTGAGTGAAAAACGCATGCTGTAGATTGAAATGTATACAATGAAATCACTAGGTTTAAAAACCCCACAAAATTTTAGACAGATAAATATAGATACAAGACGTGTGTATCTCTTCTATCTATCTACCTATCTACACATATGTAGATATGCATACACACACATACATACATGTATATATAAAATCATCAAGAAAGATTCATACCAAATTGATGAAAGAATTATCAGAGCTTGGGAAAGGGCAAGGTTGGGACTGACAGAGGAAACAGATTTAGTTTTATCATTAATATTTTAAGAATGTATCCATGTATGACTTGAGTAGTTAAAATTAAAATATAATAAAAAATGTTAAATAAATAAACATTGCCAGTTTTTTGGCCACCTGAAGACTGACCATCTGCTCCTTTTTTTTTCTTTTTTTGCTGCCCTCTGGATATACCAGGCTTGTCCCCAACACCTCATCATCCTGGCTCTTGCCCTTCTTTTCTTCCTAGTAACTCAAAAGTGACCAATCTTTCCGGCTCCACACTGACGCCTGGCCTGGGGGAATAAGCACTCCCTTCTGTCCTCACATCCTAACCACATCCTAACCACACCACACAATCTGCATATGCTCATTCCCGAGGCTTGGGGGAACTGTTCTGGGATTCCAGCTCTGTAATCTGCGGTGACATCTTGGGCACGTGACTGAGTCACTTGGAGTCTTGATTTCTTCAGCTGAGAAGCAGGGATAATAATTCCTATATTGAGTAATGAAGGAGTTTTGTTGGCTGATGTTGATCACAGGCATTTGACTAATGCTAATATGATTCAGATGATGCTGGAAACAGAGTCTTTCCCCTATTCTTTGGACCTTAACTAGCCATTGGGGTATCATATAGATTGGTCAGGTAATGACCATTATAGCCAATGTCACATTTTAGCCACAACAAACCCAGTGAGTTTAGGTCATTTTTTTCCTGGACAAGATATTCTGGTCTTTTGGCTCATCCCATGCTCCCTGCTCTTTGTCTTCAATGGTGCTCATTGTGGCTACAGATGGCAAAAGAGAAGGACACCCGCATTTTTGGAGCACCTTCTATTTGCCCAGCACAGGTTTAAACAAAGCCAGTTGCCAATGAATCAATTCCCAATTATGGCAACCCCACATGTGCCAGAGTAGAACTGTGCTCCATCGGGTTTTCAGTAGCTGATTTTTCAGCAATAGATTGCCAGGCCTTTCTTCTGAGGAGCCTCTGAGTGGACTCAAAAAGCCATACTTTCACCTAGCAGTCAAGGGCATTAAAGTACAGATTTAGGCCCTTTATATGCATTATCTCATTTAATCCTTAGAACAGCTCTTTGAAACAAAGTTTTCTTCATTTTGCGGATGAGAAAACTGATGGTCAGAAAGGTAAAGCAACCCAGACCACTACTAAATGCTGGAACTCTGATTTAAACCCAGGCCAATTTCTTGATCGCACCACATACTGTCCCAGACTCTGCCAGGGTACGTGTACAGTGGTCTCTGCGATGGACAGATGGGCTGAGGACACAGGCCGGGTGTCCATACACCAGAGCCCACAGCTGAGAAGTCTTTGTGAAAACGACGGTGGGCAGACAAAGGCAAATCGACAGAAGCAAGTTTCCAGTGGAATGCTCAACTCCATGTGTCCAAGAGCTTTAAAGCCAGAAGAAACATTCATGAAATGTGAACCTCAGAATAAATCAGTAAGTTCTGACCCAAGAGGATGTTGGTGAGTTGTGACCAAGTGGGATATTCGAGCGCTGTGATCAAACAGGGCAGGTTTCTAAGAGGCCATCAGCAGAGGAGTGGGAACCTGGCCAGTTTGATTGGTTGCTGCACTTTCTAAGTTTCCTAGTTGCTTCCAGTCCTAGGGGCTTGGTGACAGTGTAGGGTGGGGAGGAAGGTGGTTTAGGTCCCTACCTGACTCGTTCTTCTCGATGATATCCACCACTTGCCCCACGCTGAGGCTGATCTCCGAGCTCTCCTGCTTCTGGTAGTCGGCTACCACCACATACTGCTCCAGGACCAAGGGGTCCACTGAGGTCAGGTCGCCCCCTGTGAACAGGAGATTCTGTCAGATGTCACATGTGGCCACATCCCATGTGCTAAGGAGGAGGAGTCATGGGAGTAGGGTGGGTCAGGAGGACATTCCAAATACAGAAGGAAGCTGTTAGAGGACTCCTCTCAAGGGTTACTTTATCCATTCTTTCATTCTGTGCAGGCACCGTTCTAGGTGCTGGGGGTTCAGAGTTGATTCAGATACGGTACATGCCCTTAAGAGGCTGACGGCATAGTGGGAAAGCCTATTCGTTCATTTCTCTCCATCTATCCATCAGCCATTATCCACCCATCCATCATCCCACTCAACTAAACATCCATCCATCTACCATCCATCATCCATTCAACCTTCCACCCAAATTCACTCATCTATTAATTCATGGAGTCATCAGTGAAGCTCAAGACACTCCATGAGGTGCTGGGGCTATAAAAGTGAATGAAACAGGTATGATTCCCAGCCTCAGGTAACCTAATCTAGTCAGGAGACAGACACGTAAATCAGTGTATATAGTCAATAAGTATATATAACTATATAAACTGCTGGTTTGTGATAAATGCACTGCTAGAAACAAACAGTATGCCATGAAAGAATGAATGGAAAGGGACTGCTTCATTAAATGGTGGAGCCAGCAAGACCTCCCTAAGGAGGCAGCATTCGGCAGAGACCCGAGGAGAAGTTGTGAGGAGGATGGGGGAAGGGCGGTGCAGGCCAACTCTGAGCTGGGAAAGAGTGTGGAGCCTTCCAGGAACTGGAAGGAGGCCAGTGGTGGGAGCCCAGTGGGTGAAGGGAGCCTGGTACTGAGGGAGGTTGCAGAGGCAGGCCTGGGTCAGGTCAGGAAGGGCCTAGGGACCAAAGTAAGAAGTTTGGAGTTTTTTTTGAACTCTGAAGTAGAAAGCCATTTCTTTAAGAAGGGAATAACAAAACAGGATTTATATCCTTAAAAGATAATTAGATAATTTTGGCTGCCGTGTGGTGAATGGATCAGAAGCTGGCAGGAGATAAATGAGATGGAGTCCCTGTGACATCAGGGAGAGGTGATGGTGGCTTCGGGCCAGGGCATAGAGGAGGGAGTGCAGTGGGAAGGTGCTACAGGAGATGCTGCCTCCATAGGATGCAGGGTGAATGGTGCCCCCTGGAGTTGTGCACCTGGTTAAGCACTAAGACGTATCTGATAAATAAATGAAGATATCGCTGAAAATGGGTGACTTAAACAAAGGGACACCTGTGGACAGCCAAGCAACCATTAGAGCAGCAGGCTGAATGTACGGGAAGGCAGCCTGACATTTGTGGCCTTGATTCAATCTACTCCCTGGTATTGTTTTCTGAGAAGTCCCTGGGTGGTACAAACAGTAAACACACTTGGCTGCTAACCGAAAGGCTGGCGGTTCAAATCCACCCAGAGGCGCCTTGGAATAAAGCCCTGGTGATTTACTTCCAAAAGATGAGCCATTGAAAATCCTATGGAGCACAGTTTTACTCTGACACAAATGGGGTTGTTATGAGTCAGAGCTGACTCGATGTCAGCTAGAAAAAAAGACTGTTTTCTGAAAGTCTTAATTCAAAATATTCCTTATTTCCATAAAGCAGTAAAATATACTAGAAACCCTACATTTCCGTGTCCAAAATACACACAGCAGTGGAGTAGTATGCTGGAGAGCCGGCTCACATGGAGTCAATTTTGTGCATCTCTTCTCAACTCTCTCGGGTGCCTGTGGCTGGTTGGTAGCTTGAAGTTGACCAAAGTGGGAGTATTTACACCATGTAAATTGGCAGATGCTACAAATCAAAACTTCTCCTCTTCCCTGCTCCACCAAGAGAGCTGGTTGTTAAACATTTACCAGCATACCACTGCATTCTAGCCTCTGGCATCCAGAAGCAGCACAAAAGCCCTTTGTTAGAACCATGTGGTCTGAATTTTTCGTGTGGGAAACCAGAACAGGGCATTGTAGCTGGGGAGCATGGTCACTGCTTCTTGGCTCTGTGACCATGTTTGGGCCATTTGCCCTCCCCAGTTGAGGGTAATGGAGGGAAACAGGAGGGCCTCTGAGCTGGGAGTGCCTGGAGAAGAAGAGAATGAGAGGGAGGAAAGAAACGGAAGATGCTGGAGGAAGGTTCAGGAGAAGGCTGGGAAGCAGCCCAAATGATTGCCCATGCCAGGCTACATGTAAAAAACGCTCAACACAACCACCCTGCAAGGTGGGTACTGCCATTACCATTGTACAGACATGAAAACAGAGGCTCAGAGAGATTAAGTGACTGGCCTTGGGTCACACAGCTTGTTAGTGAAAAAGCTAGACTTCAACCAGGTCCTCCTGGTGGGGTAGGGGGTGAGGGAGAGAAAAATAAAATGATGGGGAAGGAAGGGTGGTCTGAGGTAGGCTTGCTTTCCCTCCCCATGACCACCCCAGGGTCCATTCAGACTGAACTTTATTTCTTAGGGTCTCTCCAGGGTTCCCTTCGCTATTCCCAGCTCTTTCCTCTCCCATCACCTCCCCCAAGGCCTGGCTGCAGGGCTGATTTCCTCCTAGCCTCCAGGATGACCGCTCACCCCAGACAGCCCAGCCACTTCGGGGTGATGTCTTTCAGCAGCCTCAGGGTAGGCTGCTCTGCACACCCTACCACACAGTGAGCTTCAGGAGGGCAGCAGTCTTGACCATCTCCATAATCACCTGGCTTTTGGCTCATGAAAGGTACTGCTGAGTGAATGAATGAATGCAGAGCACTGGCATTCTGGAGGCTCCTGGCTGATGTCCTGGTCATTAGGAGCTGGGGATACTTTACTCTGTGAATTCAAGAGCTAGAGACCAGAGTCACCAGTTTTGACCCCAGGATACCTTGTTTTGGGGCCTGACATAGGCTGCATTCAGTAAAGAGACGAGAAAAAGCACCTACTTCACAGTTAGGTTGAAACCTGTGCCCTGCTGCCCAGGTGGACACTTAACAAGTCTTCTAGGCAGGCAGCCTTAGGTGATGTGGGGCCAGGGAATGGCTGTGCTCATGCCTGGAGCACCTCTACTGTCACTTGTAGCCCTCTTTTTCTGTTCTCCTCCAGGCACTCCCAGCTGAGAGGCCCTCCCGTTTCCCTCCATTACCTTCAGCTGGGAGAGTGAATGGCCAGAACATGGTCACAGAGCCAAGAAGCAGTGACCCTGCTTCCCAGCTTCAATGCCCTGTTCTGGTTTCCCATACCAGAAATTCAGACCACATGGTTCTAACAAAGGGCTTTTGTACTGTTTCTGGATGCCAGAGGCTGGAGTGCAGCGGTGCGCTGGAGTCTTTCTCAAAACGCCACAGTTTAATGTAGGTGACCTTCTCTCCAGTGCGTCATCACCCTGCTTCACTCATGTCCTCAGTGAGCCACAGCCTGTGTAGCAGGGTGTGAGAGAGGCTTCCTTGGAGCCCGAGGAGGGAGGGGGACACTATAACTGGTTTCCATCCTGCCCCTCCAGTTTGTCCTCCAGTGATACAATGCTTGATAGTCTGTCTTACTGTTATACCTGGCTAGTATTCCCAAGATCACCTCATGGCCCAGGATGGCTGTTGCAGCCCCAGCCATCACTTTCACATTCCAGCCAGCAGGAACAAGTGAAGCATGAAAAAGGGCACACCTCCTTCTATAAAGATTCTTACTAGCAGTTGCATACAACACTTTGACTTATACCCACTGCAGCCAGAGTGCTCACTCAAAATGCTAATCTAACCCTGCCACTCACAGCTCAGCACCCTGCCGTGGCTTCCAAGTGCTCTCAGGTTCTTGCAGTCTGGGCTCCGCTTGCCTTTCTGGCCTTGCCTTTTGGCCACCTAATCCTTGCCGCAACTATAAAACTGCAAAGCCTAAAGGTGCCTTTGCACAGGCTATTTTCTCTGCCTGGCATGCCTCCTCCTCCTCTCCCTATTCAAATGGTAGCCACCTATTCTTAGCCTCCTAACTGGTCTCCTGCTGCCAACTTTGACCCCCAACTGTTCTCAACACAGCTGTCAGAATGAGCCTTCTAAAAGGGGTGTCAGATCACAGTCCTCAATGGTCAAAACCCTGCAGCGGTTCTCATCTTATTCAGGAAAAGCTCCAGTGGCCTAGAGGGCCCTGCCCTCTCAAACCCCTTTCCTCTACTCTCCGCTGACATGGCACAGAGGGTTACTTATCCCCTATTCTCCCTTTCTTCTAAGGTAATAGAACGTCTGGTTTTTAGCCAAGACTCCTTTACAGTTAGGAGTGATCATGTGACTAAGTTTTAGCCAATGGGATATAAGTAGGAGTGTTGTATGCAACTGCTAGTAAGAATCCTTACAGGAGGGGGCTTACCCTTATTCATTCTTTACTCGTTCCTGCTGGCTGAAATGTGAAAGTGATGGTTGGGTCTGCAGCAGCCATCCTGGGCCATGAGGTGATCTTGGGAATACTGGCTATGTTTGGAGCCCTGGTGGTGCAGTGGTTAAGAGTGATGGCTGCTAACCAAAAAGGCTGGCAGTTCAAAGCCACCAGCCAACCGCTCCTCGGAAACCCTATGGGGCAGTTCTACTCTGTCCTATAAGGTCGCTATGAGTCGGAATCAACTCGATGGCAACGAGTTTGGGATTTTTTTTTAAGGCAGAGCAGCAAGACAGACCATCAAGCACTGTATCACCCCTGGACCACCTACCTTCGGAATATGATCCGAGAAGAAACAAAATTATATTGTTTAAGTCACAATTATTTGGGGTTTTCTGTTACTTACGGTCAAATCAAATTTACCTTTCGTGATTACATTCTGGTTTTGTGATTCCTTGATTATGCAAAGCATGTTCCCATTGCAGGGCTTTTGCTATTCCCTCTGCCAAGGTAGGTCTTCTCCAGATATCTGCATATATTCCTTCCTCCCTCCCTCCCTTCTGATCCTCTATCAAAGCCTGCCTTATCAGTGAGATCCTCCCTGACTGCCCTATATAACAGTGCTTCCCTTCCTCAGCACTGCCTTACCCTGTTTTACTTCTTGCCATAGTGCTTTCTTCTTTTCGCTTTTAACTATCATAGAATTTATACATTTACATGTCTCTTTGTTGTTTATTTTCTATTCTAGAATATAAGTTCCATGAGGGCAGGGAATCAAATCTCTTTTGCTTACTGCTGTACTCATTTGTCTACAGGCCCATGAACCCATGGTCTGTTTTTGTACTGGTGGGGAGCTAAGAATGGTTATGCTGTTAAAGGGCTGTTAAAAAAAAAAAAGAATATGTGATAAAGACCAAATGTTGCCCACAATGCCTAAAATATTTACCATCTGGTTCTTTAGAGAAAAAGTTTGCTAGCTTCTGGACTAGAACATGGATGGCATGCATGAGGGCTTAATAAATATTTGAATGGACAAATAAATATTTTAAAACTTAGCTTGGAATGACTTCTTACACAGGGAGAAATTAAAATGCTTTCCATCACAGCACCTGTGACATTTTAATTTGTTTTATGTTTATTTTTTCTACTAGACTCTGAGTACACTTTCCACATCTTATTCACCTTTGTATTCCCTAGGGACCTAGGACAGTGCCAAACACACAGCAGGTGTTTAACGTTTATTGAATGAATAACTGTGTCTTTCTCGTTCATTCAGCACCTAGCACACACGTTCAATAGACATATGTGGAGTGGATAAACAAAGGTTGGAGACTTATAGAAACCCTTCCTCCCCTATACAAGGCTCCAGGCCTCATCTTGGCAGCACACAGTGCTGACAGTTATCAATAGGGACCTTTCCATCTACGGACAACCAAAGATGTCCTTCTTGCCTGTAAGTAGGAACAGAGGCCCTGATTAAGTCAGGGCCCAGTTAAGCCAGGTCATTCTGTCCAAAAAGTTTAATTGCTGCCACCCAGTTTTAGCAGCTGATGGTAACACAACTGTACCACATGCAATTTTTAAGACTCTGATAAATGGACTGAAATTACTCATTTCTGCACCGACTATCCTAACCAGTCTGCCAAGGGGACTTGGCGTAACTACAAGCAGTGACAGAGTCAGGAAATTGTGACATTTAGCCAGCAAAGGAGAAGGGCAAGACATCAGGGTTTGGGGTTCTGGGGTGGCATGAGCAGATGAGATACTGGCACAGGGCTCAGGGCTGGTGCTTTCTTCAAGGCTCACTCTGGGGCCAGGTCTGGGCCTTACACCTTCTCGTTTGTCCACAGGTGTAGCTTTTAGATTGTAGTTCCCTGCCATGAAGTGGTTCAGAGGAGAGTGCATGGAGTTGGTTTTTCAATTTTCAGTACAGTTCTTCTAGGGAAGATAGCCTTCATTTTATCCAGAGCATTCAACTTACCAAAACTGATGAAGAAGAGAACCCAATTCATTTGATCTACTAGGAGTTACAAACTAGGCTTGAGGCCAGTTAGGTGTCAGAGACACCTACTAGTAGAGTATAATATTGCAGCCAAGCTCTACAATGCATGGTTGATTGCAATATCTAAAAGTTGATGCAGGTAACTAAGTTTTAGGAGTTGCCAGCATGGAGTCAAAGGATTCCTAGGCATTCCTGTGGCCGAGTAGGAAATAAGAGAAAAAGAAAAGGTCAGGAGAAAGGAAGAGATTTGATAGTGGAAGGGTGATTTTAACATTGAGAAGGTGTTATAAAATATTCCCAGGAGGTATAGTGTCTGATCTACCACAGAAGTTTTCTATTGGGGGATTTTTTCTTCATGATAACATATATTTACTTTTTTACATGATTAGTAGGTATAAAATATGATTTGTTTCCCAGGAATTCACTACATTGCCAGTCTTGCTGAAAGTATCAGTAAAGGAGCGAATACTTTAATAAGTAAAAGGCTGAAAATTCAAGAAGGAAATCAGATGGTCTGTTAAGTTTTGGTGGCAGGATTTTTTCCTGTAGGATGAGAATCTGAGACCACATTAGCCAAAGTCTGTAGGAGCTAGCTAGCCATAACTGGGAAATGTTGTCAACAGATAAGCCTTCTCTAACTCAAGAGTTCTGGAACAGACATCTCAGGGCTTGAGCTGTTAACCTTAAATCCCTTCAAAATTCAATCAAGAAGTCCAGCTCTAAAATAGATTAAGTGTTCGAAGGTCAGATAAAAAATAAGGTTAATCCCAGCATGAGTTCTTAGTCTGAATAAGAAAGACGCTATTTTCCACCGAGTTGAACTATAAATAAATCCGTCCCGCATTATTGCAGGTCAATGATGTAACAGTGGTTACCACAAATTAGAGCTCCTTCTCTCTTTTCCAGACAAGTCCCCTCATCAAGCTGGTTTTGACAGGACACTTCTGTTTTCGCAAACCACAGCTATCTCTTTCCTCTCTCTTTCCCACCCATTCCTTCTAGGGACAGAGTCTCTGTATACTCAAAACCAGAAACCTCGTGACCAGCCAAGAGTGGCAGGCTCCTCTTCTCTCTGCTCTTTTCTAAAAAACGTATAATTATCCCTGGGGCTCAAGAACTATTTGCAGCTTTAGCAGGATACCAAGGCTCTGGTCAGTACCCATTAAGCCAGAAAGCAGAACTGTAAACAGACTGGGTGGGAAAAGGCTCAAGTTAATTCCAGATGTCATACCTTGAGCAACTAGATCGAGTTTCTCTCCAGTCCTCCTTCCAAGAATGACCAGAGGCCCTGTACCCAGAGGGCAGTAAAAGGACCAGAGGTGTTAAACTTGGAATTGCTACTGATGCTGGTCAGGGACATCTGTGTACTCTGAAGTAATAGTAGTAGCAGTAAGAGTAAAAACAGCAGCAAACATGTATCACTTATAGCACACCAGGCATTGTTCTAAGTGCTTTACACATATTATTATAAATCCTATAACTATCTTACAAGGTAAATTACTATTAATATTTGTATTTTACAAATGAGGAAACCAAGGCCCATGAGAGGAGGCATCCTTTTTCACTTCTGGGATCTCTGCTTATCCCTTTTTATCCTCATCAGCTCCCTTGAATTTTCTGGGGTTCCTAGGAATATCTAAAAGAACTTAGAATTCCAGAAGCTCTGAAGACTACGTTGGGTCCAAGTGTGGTACGGGCCAGGGCCATTGCAGATGTGAGGGATGATCTCGGGTCACAGGAAGAAAAAGTTGGGCCATTGTTAGTCTAAAATTATAAACTCCAGGCCTGTGACAACTCAAGTCACTCCTCTGTTCATTCCCAACTTCCCATCTTCTCTTTTCCTATTACTGCTCTTGATGTCCAGGGAATAAGATTTTTAGGAAGGAAGATAATTTGCTTCAGGGAGGGTGGAAGTGAGGATGGGAACTGCTTCAAATAGCACTGCACATTGTTCACACCAGTGGCAGACTGAAGGAAGTTGAGGCTGGGGCCAAGGGCTGAGGATGCTGAATGGATCAGGCCCAAATCTACTGCACATTCCCACTGCCCAGCCCGTGCACACGCCATCCTCTCAGTCCACAATGTCCTCAGCTGTGTGGAAAGCCCCTGCTCATTCTTCAAGACCCAGGGCCCTCCTATCTGACCTGCTCCCAAGAAGAATGCACTTAGCTCTGAGCTATTGCATCACTTTGTATAAAGCAGTAAAAGGCATTTCGTACCCTATGACATAGTTAGAAAGATGTGTCTTCCCTATTCCACCGAGGCATTCCTCAGCAAAGACACCAGGTCCCATTCCACTTTGAAATCTTTTGGTTTAAGATGAAACAACCTCAAATCCCTCTTTTGGGGAAACAGGATGGGATCAGTCAAGCATCCATCCATCCATGCATCTGTGCATCCATCCATCCACCCGCATCACTGCACCCCCAGGTGGTGCCCCGTGCCTGGCACATAGTAGGTGGTCAAAAAGGGTATGCTGAACATTGAAGGAATAGAAGAAAATGGAAAATGTCATTCTTACCAGATTTCTTTTTTCCAGTGTGCTCCCTGTACAGGAAAGAAGAGGGGTGGGAAAGAGCAGTCAGTACTTGTGTATTGACATGAGTTATTCTGTTAAAACACTGAGATTCTCCATCCCACAACATAGCTACAATATCCAAGCCAGTCCCATGGTTCTACACTCCTTAAGAACGAAAGAACTCCTCTTCTTTTTCTCCTTTTGACCAGTAAGTGCTCCAGCACCCTGGGGCAACTGCTTCCACTCTGTTGGAGAAATGTCTGATTTTAAGGTCTGGGTTTTTAATCACCAGGTGATCATGCCCTCAGTGCAACCTTGGGAGAGGGTGAGAGAGCTGAGCAAATGGTCAGGGCCTGGTGCTGCATGCCTGTGTGTCTGGGAGGAGGAGAAGCAGAGCCTGGCTCACTGGGCTGGGCGAGGCATGTGTCCTCTGGCCAGATATTACCTCAGTGGGGTTAAACTTTGCAACCTCTGTGTGATGAAGGGTGGGGGTAACAGTGGAATATCCTAGCTCACAGTTCTGGGCAATCACTGTGCACTGAGGCCTGGCCAAGTGCCGTAGCTGGGCTGACTCATTGAATCCTCACAGCCACCCTTTGAGGGTTACTCCATTTCACAGACGGGGAAACTGAGGCCCAGAGAAGTGAGTGTCTTGCCCGGGATTTGAACCCAGGAAGTCTGACTGGAGCCCACTGTCCTGTGGGTGAAGTTTTCCTCTTGGCTGCTGGCTGCAAGACACACCAACAAAGGTTCCTCAACGCTGCTTCTACATAAAGCATCATCTCCCAGAGTTGCCACACAGGCCTGTGACGAGAGCCATGGCCTGGGCTACTTCAAGCCCAGGGATCCTGCTTTACTACATACACCTGCTAGAGGCACCAGGGGCTCTTGGGTTCCAGTCACAGCAACATGTGTGGGCCCAAGCAGGCACATTACCTGTCTGTGTAACAGGCTTGCGATGTTCCCAAGTTTTTCTACACAGGGCAGCAAAAACCCGCTTTTGAGGGTGTTGTTTGGAACCCATCATTTCTCTACCTGGGTACCAGCTGGGAAAGACCCCCAATTTCAGTCTCAAGTCCTAACTTGAGTCTGAGCTTCAGGGCCTTTGACCAAGAGACCAACTCCGTCAAGCAGCCACCCTGCCGTCCATCCCTCCTTCAATCAACAACCAGGGTCCAGCTGAGAGGCCCGACTGTCTGCTTTGGCCCCAGAGCTGCCCCTTGGGCTCTTCGCAACCTCCTCACCTTCTTTCCCAAGTAGAACCTTTTCCTTCAAAGCTGGGCTTATAGACAGGAAGGCCTCACTAGGTAAGCACCAGCCATGTGCCAGACACTATGCCCTATGGACAGAATCCTCATAACCAAGATGGCAAGCTAGGTTACCAAAAAACCCAAACTTGTTGCCTTTCAAGTGGACTTTGACTCATGGAGACCCCATGTGTTAGAGCAGAACTGAGCTCCATAGGGCTTTCTTGGCTGTAATCTTTAAAGGCCTTTCTTCCGTGGCATTGCTGGGTAGGTCTGAATTGCCAATCTTTCAGTTAGGTGAGCTAGGTTAGCTGTTTCCATTTTACAAATGAGCAAATGGAGGCTCAGAGAAGTCAAGTCACTTGTCCAAGGTCACACAGCTAGGAAGGGACAAAGAGAGATGTGAACCTTTCCTTTCCTTCCAGGAAGCCTCTTGGAACCAGATACACGTACTCCAGCATGATGCTGGTTAGCTTACGTCAGCTGTTCCTTTGTGATTTTTTGGGCACTGTCTTGGCTGGGTTTTGTATTTTTAGTGGATGTTTCATTTGTGTGTGTGTGTGTGTGTGTGTGTGTGTGTACACGTTTCCACATGTTTGTGCACCCTTTCCCACCTGTACAGAAGTCTCCTGAGGGCAGGAGCTATTTTTCTCTTGCACCCCTCTTAAGTGAAGAACAACAAGTGACCATTAAATACCACAGGGTGTGGCATTATTATGTTTTAAAGGGATGGAGCAATAAGATTTCTTTTACTTCGTCACAAGGTTCTACACTTAGAAAAAAATATTTTTTAGATTCTCACTTCATGCCATACATGGAAATGAATTCTAACTGACTTAATGAAGAAATATTAAAAGAATACTCAAACTACAAAACAACTAAAAAAAAATCAAGGTGAATATTTATCTTGTGTCTGAATGGCAACTACCCTTCTAAGCATAAAAGCAACGGAAGAAGTCACAAATGAAAAACAGTTACCACATCTGACTTTACAAAAACATAAAACTTACGCCCATCATAAAATTCAGAAACAAAACATAAATTCTAATGAACCCAAAACCTGTTTCCATCCAGTCAATTCTGACTCATAGCGACCCTACAGGACAGAGTAGAACTGCCACATAGGGTTTTCAAGGAATGGCTGGTGGATTCGTACCGCCAACCTTTTGGTTAGCAGCCAAATGCTTAAACCACTGCGCCAGCAGGGCTCCTAAATTCCAATGAAAGGGGCAAATATTTGCCACAAACATGGCAAAGAGCAATCTCCTTAATACTGAAAGAGCACATACAAATCATAATAAAAATACTAAAACCAACAGAAAAGTAAGCAAAGAGATCTTTCCCTTTCAACTACGATTATTCTTGGAGTTCAGAGCCTCTTACTCTGTAACCATCATGCCAACACCAGTCTGAATCTTTTCTGGCTCAAGAGATGTCCACTAGCCCTCAGAGCTGCCTGAAGGTAGGAACTTGGCTTGTTTTTCCAGGGCTCCCAAGCCAGGTAGCTGTCATAGGGGAACATCTGGCGAGTGAGCATACTTGAATGAGCTGACCCTGTCCTTGTGGTTCTTTACCCAGGACTTGAGGTTAGGCAGAATCATCTGAAAGGCCTGGAGTGTGACGCTCCCCTCCTCAAGCCTTTTGAAGGCCCCGAGGAAAGACTGGTCTTCCCACATAAAGACAAGTATTTCCATTATTGTACCCGACTCCTTCCAGAGGCTATAATAAATCCAACAACCAATTATCTTCTCTGTTACCATCTCATACAGCAGGAGGAGGAATAATGAAAACTCACTGTATACCTATTATGTGCCAGGCACTGTGCTAAGCACTTCACACATTATATCCAAGCTTCGTTTCAACTCTGCAAAGTAGGTACTATTATCATTCCCATTTAAGAAATGAGGAAATGGATTCTCCTTAAAATAATCCAAACAAAACTCTAACTCCAGGAAACAGGAAAGGTCTATCCTTTGAATTATCAACATAATGCCCAGAGGGGTCACCAGTGATTTCAGCCCCAATCTTCAAAAAAACTAATTATTGATCACTTCCTAATTTTCCCACTCATATATTTCAATTTAGCTGAGTTGGAATCGGGTTTGTTTTTGGTTTTTTATAATGTGGGCAGGCCAGGTGACATAATCGCATTTTACAGATGAGGCAACTGAGGCAAAAAGGGAAGGGAGTGTGATGGATGTGCCTTGCCCCTAGACTGGGCGCTCCCTGCAGGCAAGGGGTGGTGTCTGTCATGTTCGTCTGTACCCCGGTGCCCAGCACTGGGCCTGGCACACCAAAAAACAAAACAAAAAAACTGAACCCATTGCCATCAGGTCAATTCTGACTCATAGCCAGCTTATCTTGATAGCTATTTGCTGAATGGATGATCAATGCGGGCCCCCCTGGCGGGGGCAGCACGTCTAGAATTCCCGGTCCTGTGCTATTTCTACAGGCCCAAACCAGCCAGCAAGTGGGGAAAGTACTGCTGCAGCCACCAAAGAGAGAAAGCCAGGGAGAGTGACCAAGTCAGCTGGCGGCTGCCCTGATTTCCCAGATCCCTCAAGGGCTGGCTCCCATCCTGTTTCCCGGAGAGCCTTTCCTTCCTGAACGAAGACCACACACACTCTCCCAAAGCACAGCAGGCTGGCCCTGGCTGTCACCCACCTACTTATACTGATAAGCAGGCCTGATGTTTTGCTCAAAGGATAGGGACCCACTTCAACCACCCTTGCCAGGCAGGGGGCCAAAGATATCAGAGCATCAACATTGGACATGGCCACCATGGCCAGGGTTTTTAACCCAGGTCCACAGATGGGATTCTGCACAATTGAGGACCTCCTGACACTGTGGACATTTTTCCAGGGAGAGGGAAGACATCTTTCATTGGATTCTCTAACTGGTCCATGATCTACCCCCAAAGTTAAGATCTTTGGGCACTGAGATGAGGTTGAAGAAAACCTAGATGTTGGTGAACCCAGTCGCCTGAGGAACCTACACCCAAGGTCCTTCTCTTCCTCCGGTGGTTGGTGTTCCTCCTTCCTTCTGCCCTTGAGCAGTATGCAACATTTGTCGTGCTTCTCTTTACATTTTCTCCTTTGATCCCTGAATAATGCCGCAAGGGAGGTGTTATTAGGTCCATCTTACAAAAGAGGAAACTGAGGCTCAAGGCAAGATACACCCAAGCTCACCCAGCTTAAAAGTGGCCAAGCAATTTTTTGTCGCTGAGAGCGTATCAAGCTGGGCATCTTCACAACTGTTGAGAGGTAGAACCTGGAGTAAAAGCAGCTATGAGTAGGTGTTCAGAGAAGGAAGATACCATGAGCCACTACCTTTTGAGCACTTGGCAAATTCTTAGAATTTTTACTTATACTAGTCACCCAATCCTCATTATAACCCCAAGGAGTGCTGCTACTCCCATTTTACAGTGGAGACAATTGAGGCCCACGGATGAAGACAGGGAGACGAGATGTAAACCTAGGTGTACCAGATTCCAAACCTGGGCTCTTTCATTAAGCAGTGTTGTCCCTCATGTGAGAGGCACACACAGAGGCTGCCCAGAGCTTAAGGTTTTCCAGACTCAGGCAGACCTGGAAAAATTCATCTCTACCTCTTCCAAACTGAGTTATCTTGGGTGAATCCCTTCATTATTCTGGATCTCAGCTTTCTTATTATAAAATGGGTACAACAATTCATATGTGGCAGTATTGTTATAGAATGACATGGAAACAGAACACTATAAGCTCCATATTCTTTTTTGTTTGTTTTAAAGCTTTATATTCCTTGATTCACATTGGCTGGAAATTATAATCGAAGCCAGAGGCTACTGGCAATTTAATTCTCAAAGCCCAGGAGAACTGTAGACAAAGGTGATCTGAGAATATTTCACCATATCTTGTTAGAAACAATAAAAATGTGGGAACGTTTGCCAGACATAAACGTTAAAGACAACAAGAACAGAAACATTAGCCAGGATAGGCTGAAGACCCAATACTGTCAGATCTATACTTATTCTGTATCTTTCTTTCTTTCTTTTTTTAATTCATGAAACTGTGTCTTGGCTTATGTTATTGGCAAGACATTCCCTTGCGACGTTCTGACTTCAAAAGGTTCATTGTCGCCTATTATGCAATGTCGTCTTTAATCCCAAAGCCATGCTTGTGTGTGCTGGCTATGAGAAGCTGCATTCACTCCAGGCTTGTCATAGGAAATGGTAGTTATTAGAAGAACTTTACTGCAGT